TAATCAATCCACGTATTTAAAAGGAGTGCATATTTCGTAATCAATCCACGTATTTAAAAGGAGTGCATATTTTGTAATCAATCCACGTATTTAAAAGGAGAGCATATTTTGTAATCAATCCACGTATTTAAAAGGAGTGCATATTTTGAAATCAATCCACGTATTTAAAAGGAGTGCATATTTTGTAATCAATCCACGTATTTAAAAGGAGTGCATATTTCGTAATCAATCCACGTATTTAAAAGGAGTGCATATTTCGTAATCAATCCACGTATTTAAAAGGAGTGCATATTTCGTAATCAATCCATGTATTTAAAAGGAGTGCATATTTCGAAACCAATCCACGTATTTAAAAGGAGCGCATATTGCGTAATCAATACACGTATTTAAAAGGAGTGTATATTTCGTAATCAATACACATATTTAAAAGGAGTGCATATTTCGTAATAATCCACGTATTAACAAGGAGTGCATATTTCGTAATAGATCCTCATTCCCACTCATTACAACCATATTCCGTGAATGGCATGTATTGTCAGAATCCGAATGTGAAACGCATTTAATCATCTAGTATTTTTAAAAAATCCACAAAATAATCCCCTCACTTTTTAAAGCAACACATGTTTTTCTCGGAAAGAGGAGCTAACAATTTATTCTTTCATGAAGCAATTTTTCCCTCGTATTTTATTATAATTATGTTTTCCGATTCGACCCTCAGAATGACGAAATCTAATGGACTTCTTAACTTTTACGTACTTTAAGGCTGCGGTTTCGTACATTGTATCGTGTCTAGGATCGTGTCTATTACATTTACCTTCTCTTACAGTAACCAGATGAGCCCTATCATAAACAAGTTTAGTTCAGGACTGAGTTCCTTCTTAAACTGCCACCAATTCTCCTCTATCGCAGCCGGGTAACTCCTTCTAAGGACGAGAACCTGTTTACTCAGTGACTCGAGTATTTAATCTCGAAAGTTATCGCGTTATATCAACGAAAGCGCCATCTGTTGTTAAGTAAACACGTGATTTCAGTATTAGTTAGAATTGCCATGTAATATTTCACCGTTTGTGTCCAATACAGAGAACCGGTTAGTGATTAAAGACATTTTTGTTGCCTTTGTTAACTCGTATCGGAAACAGATTGTTATGTTTGTTTGAATGAATCAGGGCCCACTTAATTACTTATTCATACTGTAGATTTGTCGTTAACCGAACGACATGGTGATGAATGACACAGGCTTATGATGGATGCAAGAAAACCCTTTCAGTAATCGTAACAACACAAGTAATACAAATCTTTCCACAAGACGTCAGGGGCGGTTGGGTAGCCTAGCGGTTATTTAAAGCGTTCGCTCGTCACGCCGAAGACCAGGGTTTGAGTTCCCATATGGGTGCAATGTGTGAAGCCCATTTCTGGTGTCCCCACCGTGATATTGCTGGAATATTGTTAAAAGCGGCGTAAAACTAAACTCACTCACTCACCGACTATGTCATGAGCATGTGTTTATGAATCAATATCAAATTATTGATCATACCAGGTGTCGCCTGAAAAGCTGTGCGTATCCGCGCTTATCATAACACATACAAAGGCTAGTCAATTATACACCTGACAAAATAGGGAATGTGCTAGTTAAAAACTGAAATTGCATCGGACACAATTTTTGTCACTGATGCGTGTCACATTTTGAAATGTCCTTCACCTTTTTGAAAGCTTTCGTAGCCTTGAATGTTGTAACCTGATCAAACAACGTGTGCGCAAGAGAGGTATGGAGCTCTTTGAAATATTGATAAAAACAGGTTGCTCTATTGTGACTCGAAAGCTTTGAAATGTAAAACATCAAAGGCTGGAACTGTTGACCTATCGACATCCCTTTTGTCATACAACCTTGTGGAGAGTTTTTAATCACACTGAATCTATATGCATACATCTAAATGTGAAACACATGAGGAGGTCTTACTTACCTGTTTGCTTTCAAATTCAGGCGGGTAAATAATTGGAAAATAATTGGCCATTTGATGGTTATTGAGCTATAATTAATCTTCATATTAAAGTCCATTGCGCGATTCCAACTTTGTCATTAGTGTGTGTTTATTAATTAGTATGAAATAGTTATGACACCGGGTGTTCCCTGAAAAGGCTAAATGTTCCAAACCATTTGTTCACCTGAAGATGAACCCTAGGGAGCATATATAGATAAATGTACTAAACATCGATTACGCCACTGATGCGTCTAATTTGTACTTCAAAAAGTCTGAACTAGTAACCCCGATCAAACAACCATTGAGTCCAGTGGATGCTCGTTGAAATCTTCAAAGGATGATAATGAAATTCCGGTTTTCGATCATGACAACACATGCACATCAGTACTGACAGAGTGTCTTTGAGTGTCCAACTCCTCAGTAGCGAGTGTGTCCACCTCTTGCAGCGATACATGCCACACGACGTCGTGCAGAGTGCACAAGACGTCTGATCAGGTGATGTGGGATGCGACGCCATTCTTCCTGTAGAGCTTGAGCCAAAGCGTTTCTTGTCTGTGGGGATGTTGACGTTGCTTCACCTGACGGCCGAGATGATCCCATAGGTGCTCAATAGGTGATAAATTGGGGATCTTGCTGGCCAAGGAATGACGTTTACGTTGTTGTTGTTCAGGAAGTTCCGGGTAACAACAGCAGTGTGGGGAGTAGCGTTATCCTGCTGAAACAACACGCCTCGATTCTGCTGGAGGAAGGGTAACACGACAGGTCGTAAAACAACATCAATGTATCGACGGGCATTCAGGTTTCCCTCTATCACCAACAAGTCAGTCTTCCTCTCGCCACAATTCTCCCCCACACCATCACACTACCGCCGCCAAACGTCTCAACTTCCTGAACGCAACAACGTGCTGTGCGTTCGTTCCGACGTCTGTAGACTCGTACCCGACCATCAGCTTTGTTCAACTGGAAGCGGCTCTCGTCACTGAAGAGTACCCGGCGCCAGTTCCGCGGCTGCCACTGCCGAACTCTACGTGCCCAAGCCAATCGACGACGTCGATGTTCACGCGTTAACGTCACGCCCCGGAATGGTCTGTAGGCTCTGATACCGAATCGGCGGAGTCGTCTGGATATGGTCCTTCTACTGACTGGATGGGTAAGGCTGGTTGTTGCTGATGACGTCACAGTCAGGAATCTGTTGCGCAAGTGAAGCACCCGTAAATGGCGGTCTTCCTGAGGGGTGGTTACGGGTGGTCTCCCTGTCCTAGGCCTGTCTGCAGTCCGACCTGTTGTTCTGAAGCGTGTCATCAGTCTGGTGATGGTTTTCTTGCTGCAACCCATGATTCTTGCAACGTGACTGTGAGAAGCACCCAGCTGCAACATCCCAATAGCTCGTTCTCTCTGTTCTGCCGTGAGTCGAGGAGGCATGTTCTTTGTGTCCAACGTATTGAAGTGATGAATTCGAACAGTCGAGCATAATTTTTATACTGTACTTTCATACGGGTATGTTTCCACAGAAGCATGCAAAAAACGTGAATAAAAGCAATTTTCATGCTTACAAAAAACTCCACGTGGATTTCCTTTCTGTGAGACGTGGGGATGCGTTCGGGAGATGTGTTCCTAAATAAATTTCCGTCATAACGAAAACAGAAGAAATGTTTTTTACAATTTTACTTTGGGGACGTTTCTTTTGCCCCTCAGTTTAGATCTTTCTTGACCTGTTATAACCATTGGTATGACGTGGAAGTAGGTGGGTCACCCTCACTGTGTGGAATCCCGAATGGAATACAACCCTCTAAAGAACTAGAATTTGTACTTATCTAAGACATTTTAATCCAAGATATAACATATGTTACATTTGACTAACGACATTGTGCATTCAATTTGAAAGCTTTCGGCTGTGGGAGCCGTGCCAGTTGACACTTGTCTGACGGGTACACAATTTGAAGTCTGTCTGAATTCAGTTTTTGTGTGTGGGTATCGGTGTCTGGATGGGTTAGAACACAGACTTTGTGTGGTGGCGATGAGGGTCTCACTGTGGGAGTATGACATGGGGTTCCAGAGTGGCTGATGTGTGGCGACAGTGACGACACTGGTTCGTTCGTAGCGACAAATACCCAGACATAATTTCCACACGTATCTGTTACACTACGCTTACAGCGAACACGCTCATGATGAACTGACGAATATATACTGGACAAAATAAGTTAGGGATATTGACATTTTTATCATTGATATTTTATCAGTGTGTCAATGAATAAATAGATCATTATTCATAATTTCAAAATTTACATATATCCCTAACTATTTTTGTCCAGTATATTAACGTTTTGCCATTGTTGGCTCCAGGTCAGTTCCTCCGTACTTTAGAACAAATATATATAACAAACAACGGTTATAACGAACTAAAATGGTCTCGACTTCGTTATAAACGTAGTTGACGGTAAATGATTTGGAGTGCCTTGACAAGTAACTATTATTTAGGAGTATACGACATCCAACACCCAGACTATCTCATCATGGCCTTTATAGAGACGCTACTATTTACAAGTGAAATTTCTCAAGTTCGAAATATGAATTCACAACCGCAAGATAATTATCGATTTCCTTATTCAGAACCATTATAACGCTTGACACGTGGCTATCTGATGAGAGAAACATGGACCCCATGGGGCACTAATCTACATCATGAGGGTCGGCATTGCAGTGTTAGAACCAGTAAGCAAATATAGGCAAGGCCATTCAGTCAATGTTAATACCATCCACCACAGAGATTTTAATATCATTGTAACTCTACTACAGGCTCATGGACATATTATTTCCAAACACCAATTCCTACAGTGGAACCGGTGGACTCTTGAACACCGATGTCCCTGAAGAGCTGCTCAACACCATTCCAGCGTCAGTGTTGTAGTCGACGGTTTTCAGTTCCATCGTCTATTGGTCCAATTAGTACGAGAGTCGGTTGAGATTTGTTCCATTTAAAATACAATGAATGCTTTTAGTAGGTTGTTACTGTTGAGGGATGTAATACGGTGAAGCAGCATTGCCACTCAGTTCGTTGAGCTAATATTGGCTTATGTTAGTTTCATCAGCTAATTGGTCGTGTCTCGTGTAAAGGTCACTGTTGTCAGTTCTGACTGGTCATATGTCAGGGGGCGTGGCCTCTCAATTAGGGCCGAGAAGTAGTTGCAACGTGACTTGTGTTTCTCGGATCTCCTAAAGGAAGGTAAGTCTTGGAATTTAAGAAGTGTGCATCATATTTAAGAGAACTGTGTTCTTCATGGTACTTTATTTGAAAGATTTCCAGTATGCTGACAAGTTTTGGAGATATTATACTTCTTGAATATATGAATCATGTTTTAGAAAGAATTTTGAATGTGAGCAAGTCTATGCAAAAATCTATGGAACACTTTCTTTTTAACGTTAAATTAAAAAATAATAACACTAAAATATGCATATACTGTTGGTTTTCTAAATTTGATGAGAATGAGACCTATTTCAAGAAGTACTAGTTTATTCCGTTTTGTAATTTTTATTTATAAATTAAAAGGTTTGTGTTATACATATATTTACCACGTACAATTATGTGAGTGATATTTTGACATTTACTAGCGCGGTATGCTCACCCGGTTTACAAATCCGATTTATCACAGTTCGGAACGTGTGAATAGTAGTTGGAAAACAAGGGCTGATAACTCTGTCATACTAAATGTGTGATACAAAATCTTGCCGTCTCAAATATATATTGTCATATTATTGTTCAGTCATTTATTTTAAATAGCATGCATGTGGTTATAACAGCCAAATTAAGATTCATTTAAAGTGTTTTACACGCTATATATAATTTCACTGTGATAAAATATTTCCATTAGTTTTTTAAGATATATATTGAAGATAACATTTGGCATGGAGATAATGAAACTATAACTACAAATATATCTATTTCTACTTTTGTTAATTTAAACAAAGTTTGTCTACAATAGAATGCGAATAATTTACATGGTATAGCGACGAGCAATGACTATGTACCTACGTGTATCTTGTATTCGTGTTTACCTAATTTACAGGTACTTAATCATTCCTTACTGTACAAGTATACTTTCTGGAAATAGGTTTATAATTATGTTTGCTACACTTGAATACATCAGAAGCCTCATATTCTCACAACTTGGTGAAGAACGATATTTTTCCTATAAAAATAAACAAATGATTTTTGGATCAGGGTTTTGAAATGTATCAATGAATAATAATATATCTTCAAATGTATATAACTATCAAAAAGAAAGGTCAGTAGCGAGTTTTTTTCAAACGCAGTTGTCATTTCGCTAAATTGTACAGGGAAACCGAAACTTCTCCATACATGGAGTTGAATTAGGGAATCTTTGCCAGACATGCCTGTCGTGTGTAACGAAGAGTGTCTTATGTGTTTACCAACCCTATAATCAACACCTTTTTCTAATTGTATCAGCCGGTTTTTGTTTCGCATGATGAAGTACTGTCGGAGAGCCATGTGGCGTGAATACCTATATTCATGAATGATCACTTAACACTGAAGGAATCATGATGTTAACGGCAGAATGAGTGCAAAGGTATACTGTTGGGATTGAAGTGTTTTCGAGTTCTAATTTGAAGGCAATAATTGAATTTTGAATCCAGCGCGCCTAATTTGACCTTGAAAAACCCAGACAGCCTTTCTCATTACGCACAGAGTTATAGTATATATTGAAAGTTTTTATCTTCAAACTCTCATTTTTAAAAAAACCCAACATTTTTTCATAAGTTTCAACAGATGCCCAGGGCAAGGAGGGAAAGAACGAATAATTAGGATCAGATAAGAATAATTCATGATCCGAAATACTGGGAATACTAAAATGCGTCTCTCGCCATAATTAATTGCTTAATAATATAAGGCGGTTTTATACGAGTGAATAGGCTTGGGTACTCTCAATATTTTAGTTTCCATGGTTACAGTTTGATGGTGTCTGCTATTTTATATTTATTCTGATTCCAGATCCGAAGTGACGATGGGTCACCATTCCCCCGCTCTACTTGGTGCCGTCCTGGTGGCTCTGGTGAATGTGACAGCTGGGTTTCAGTTTATGATTAATGCAAGTATGTATGTATTGCAATGTAGGTATGTGAAGTAAATAACAACATGAACATGAACCCAGAAACGTGCCTTTCGTTGAAAATACCACCGATACTTTTATTGAAGATATTTATAAGTGTATCATGATTTGATCTACGGTGAGCTATAGTCCAAGTGCAATATATCGGTGCAGGTCTTATAACTGACGTCAAAACTTGACGCCCTATGTTCGGTGCAGGTCTTATAACTACGTCAAAACTTGACGCCCTGTGTTCGGTGCAGGTCTTATAACTGACGTCAAAACTTGACGCCCTGTGTTCGGTGCAGGTCTTATAACTGACGTCAAAACTTGACGCCCTGTGTTCGGTGCAGGTCTTATAACTGACGTCAAAACTTGACGCCCCGTGTTCGGTGCAGGTCTTATAACTGACGTCAAAACTTGACGCCCGTGTTCGGTGCAGGTCTTATAACTGACGTCAAAACTTGACGCCCTGTGTTCAGTGCAGGTCTTATAACTGACGTCAAAACTTGACGCCCTGTGTTCGGTGCAGGTCTTATAACTGACGTCAAAACTTGGCGCCCCGTGTTCGGTGCAGGTCTTATAACTGACGTCAAAACTTGACGCCCTGTGTTCGGTGCAGGTCTTATAACTGACGTCAAAACTTGACGCCCTGTGTTCAGTGAGTGAGTGAGTGAGTGAGTGGGGATTATCCTTGTATCTGTCATAGGGCACCCCTCCTCTATGTCTCTGTAGATATACCGTCTGTGTAGGTGTGATGGGGTACCCTGCCTCCACGGACGCCGATCTGTACCGGGAGATAGCTGATATTCTACTCAGGGAGGAGAACCCGCGCCCCAGCAAGCACAACTACTGCGCCATACACTTCGGAAAGGTCAGCTTCGACAACACCAACGGCAGCACCATCTACCGCAGTCTGACAGCAGGTAGGCAGCTCATCTACATCTAGAGTGGTGAGTCAGGCAGCATCAGACACAGTGTGGGATGTACGTGGACATGCAATAGCTACGACTGAAGTACAACATGTGCTACATTTAAAACTCTGTGGCTTTAGCAGTCAGAATTATTTTGGAGCCTTTGTAGGTCTGCAGTTCAAAACACAAACACAATAAATAATAGTACATATTTAGAAAGCAACAACAAACACTATTATGAAAGTCATAGTGTTTTTTCCCATGACTTTGATTTCTCCAATAGTTAAAAACGTCTCTTGCAAATTTGCCCCATGCTGACATATCTGAAAAGGTCACTTCACTGCAACGAATTGTCGAATATTATCTGTATTGCTAAATGGATCATAGTTTTATCCAGCTTCTATCATAAGCACAATGCTGTATTTGAAAATGAAAATATAAGATGCAGATTTAATGTCCAATTCTTCAGCTGTATCCTTAGCCACAGCTCCATAGCAAGGGACTGGCACAGTTAACACTTTACCATCACGACAAACAAATACGCGCACGGTAACCTTGTTTATGTTTATCAGATGTTAATGTCTAGGGCTCTCACGAGTCCAAAATTTGGGACTCGAGTACTCGAGGTGTCAGACCCGACTCGGACCCGAGTACCCGACAATTTGGATGCTTATCTGAAACCAACATTCAAGCATACACGTAGCTGTTCCAACTTCCAATCTACGAATAATGCAACATGTATATGTGAATCCAAACGTTCTTGAATAAAGCAATTGATATTCAATGTCAATGGAAGTATCTATTACCTTTTAATTTGCAAACAGAATGTGAAGGCAACGTAAGTGTCACTGTGACCCAGTTCTACGCGATCAATTATGTGATTAATATTCATGAGCTGGGCCGGTGATACCTTATTACGCCTGTAAATGCTGTAATATGATTGGATGTGTCAGGGAAAAGAAACCAATCAATCTACTTCTCTTTTCTTTTGGTTTTAAGTTTTACTGCGCTTTCAAGATTATCTAATATTAATATGTCGTTGCAGTTATGACATATTAGCAAATTTTAAACATTCACCTGGACGATAAGTCACATAATCAATTAACCTTAATCATGGTTAAAATGCGGCAAAACACGTTCCAAAGCTGGAAGATACATAGATAAAGCATTCATTGATTGGTGCTGCATTAGATACTAGTATCTTGTAAAGATGGATCGACTATGGAACTTAAAGAATATGTAAAACAGGATTGATGTTTATTTGAGACTTCTTATAGTGAAAACGGTTTGGTTTCAAACTAAAGACTAACCATTTATTGAGTAACACTACGCTGTATTTCTTCTTCCGAAACTCTGCTGAACGGAGATCACGTCAATGGTATTCATTGTGATTAAAATTTTCACTATTAAGGATATAGTGTGAATGTTATTTTGAATGCGTATGTATGTGTTGATTGTTGAATATGTAACACTGAAATACGCTGGATAAGAACGACTGAATATCTATGTAGAAAACAAGTTGTTCAAACATAGGTCTAGTGGGCAGGGACAGTGATACAGCCGTGAGTGGTTACGCTTGTCCACGCGTCCGTAGTTAGGCAACGGCAGGTACCGTTTTGGGTACTGATATTTTGTTCTCCTTGCAATCTTCATACGACTTTATGAGGTAGTTGTGAATTGTCGCAGTACATGGGACCTGGTAATTTGGGTTCAATGGTTCACAGAAAGCCCTGAAACCCTCCCTTTAAGCAAGACTTAATGGTCGCATATCCTTAACGCGCATAAGCATTGCTTGCGTAATACCTTCATACCATTTCCTGTCAACAGGCTTGCGACTTTTGCTATCAAACTTACCAAACTGCCCCAGCGTTGCTTGTTGAGCTGGTTTTCTGTCTACAGTGCTTATTGTGGGTGCTTACAGGACAAATGCTTGCGTAACGAAGGGAAACGCCACAAAGACGGCATTTCGTATTTTGGCCACTAAATCAAGATAAAAATGCGTCCAGACATTGGATTTTTTCTCACGATCATCCATCTTGATTGCATGAGATGTTTATGGTATCTCCCCTGCGAGTCCTCGAGTCCATTCAATTGGACTCGAGTCCTGCTTTACCCGACTCGGCCCCGAGTACCCGAGTACTCGTGAGAGCCCTATTAATGTCCCAATCCAAACTAAACACCATGACAAGTCTTCACTGACACAAATTCCTTAAAACTACCAGAATTACGATCAAAGCTTACTTTTGTCGTGACTGATCGAATGATCGATTCAAATTATTGTTATTTTGCCTATGCTTCTAAAGAAGGATAATAGTGATTGGCTGGTTATTCACTGGCGTTGACATTTTTAATTTACCTTTACATAAACTTATTGGTCAACGAGGTTTTGATGAATGCCCAAATACCCATGTTTACAAATATAATCAAGGTATTAAATTAACCTCCTTCAAGTACATTCTTGTCACACTTCACATCGCCGATCTAGGGGTCAGGCTTATCAAATATTATTTCTCTGAAGCCAGGAGAAACTTTCAAAATCACCATGTCGCCGTCGCCATCGGTCCCTACATTGACGTCTTTACCTCCACCAACTACGTCATTTTGAACCAGCGTCATATGCTGACGTCATCAGCTGGTCAGAAGTCGGAACTACTTGACCCTGACATGGTGGTATCCATACTTCCCGAACGACACAACTTGTCGGAGGCTGTGGCAAGGATTGTGGAGAAACTCGACTGGAATTATGTCGCCCTCCTGTCTCAAGGTGAGTAGCCTCTCGATGTGTAAAGTAGTGTGGAGGATAACAGTATCTGCTGTTTTGGCATTGAATCCTATGGTCAGTGGTCCGGGACAATGATAGCTAATGCCTACTGTCCTGTAAGGAACCTATGGTCAAGGCTTGAGATGAATGTGCAATAGGTTTCGTTTACTGCACCGTTGCCCAGTATATAATGTCCTGTTACTCCCTTCACTGTTACTTCCTCCACTGTTTCTTGTGTAAATGTTACTTCCTCCACTGTTACTTCGTTCAGTGCTACTCGATTCACTGTCACTTCCTTCGCTGTTACTTCCTCCACTGTCACTTCCTTCATTGTTACTCTCTCCACCGTTACTCCCTTTACTAGTGCTCCTTACACTGTCACTTCCTTCACGGTTACTTCCTCCACTCCTGCTCCCTTTACTAGTGCTCCTTACACTGTCACATCCCTTCACGGTTACTTCCTCCACCGTTACTCCCTTTACTAGTGCTCCTTACACTGTCACTTCCTTCACGGTTACTTCCTCCACCGTTACTCCCTTTACTAGTGCTCCTTACACTGTCACTTCCTTCACGGTTACTTCCTCCACCGTTACTCCCTTTACTAGTGCTCCTTACACTGTCACTTCCTTCACGGTTACTTCCTCCACTCTTACTCCCTTTACTAGTGCTCCTTACACTGTCACTTCCTTCATGGTTACTTCCTCCACTCTTGCTCCCTTTACTAGTGCCCTTACACTGTCACTTCCTTCACGGTTACTTCCTCCACTCTTGCTCCCTTTACTAGTGCTCCTTATACTGTCACTTCCTTCACGGTTACTTCCTCCACTCTTGCTCCCTTTACTAGTGCTCCTTACACTGTCACTTCCTTCACGGTTACTTCCTCCACCGTTACTTCCTCCACTGTCACTTCCTTCATTGTTACTCTCTCCACCGTTACTCCCTTTACTAGTGCTCCTTACACTGTCACTTCCTTCACGGTTACTTCCTCCACTCTTGCTCCCTTTACTAGTGCCCCTTACACTGTCACTTCCTTCACGGTTACTTCCTCCACTCTTGCTCCCTTTACTAGTGCTCCTTACACTGTCACTTCCTTCACGGTTACTTCCTCCACTCTTGCTCCCTTTACTAGTGCTCCTTACACTGTTACTTCCTTCACGGTTACTTCCTCCACTCTTGCTCCCTTTACTAGTGCTCCTTACACTGTCACTTCCTTCACCGTTACTTCCTCCACCGTTACTTCCTCCACTGTCACTTCCTTCATTGTTACTCTCTCCACCGTTACTCCCTTTATTAGTGCTCCTTACACTGTCACTTCCTTCACGGTTACTTCCTCCACTCCTGCTCCCTTAACTAGTGCCCCTTACACTGTCACTTCCTTCACGGTTACTTCTTCCACTCTTGCTCCGTTTACTAGTGCTCCTTACACTGTCACTTCCTTCACGGTTACTTCCTCCACTCTTGCTCCCTTTACTAGTGCTCCTTACACTGTCACTTCCTTCACGGTTACTTCCTCCACCGTTCTTGCTCCGTTTACTAGTGCTCCTTACACTGTCACTTCCTTCACGGTTACTTCCCCCACCGTTACTCCCTTTACTAGTGCTCCTTACACTGTCACTTCCTTCACGGTTACTTCCTCCACTCTTACTCCCTTTACTAGTGCTCCTTACACTGTCACTTCCTTCACGGTTACTTCCTCCACTCTTGCTCCCTTTACTAGTGCTCCTTACACTGTCACTTCCTTCACGGTTACTTCCTCCACCGTTACCTTTCCTCCACTGTCACTTCCTTCATTGTTACTTCCTCCACCGTTACTCCCTTTACTAGTGCTCCTTACACTGTCACTTCCTTCACGGTTACTTCCTCCACCGTTACTCCCTTTACTAGTGCTCCTTACACTGTCACTTCCTTCACGGTTACTTCCTCCACTCTTGCTCCCTTTACTAGTGCTCCTTACACTGTCACTTCCTTCACGGTTACTTCCTCCACTCTTGCTCCCTTTACTAGTGCTCCTTACACTGTCACTTCCTTCACGGTTACTTCCTCCACTCTTACTCCCTTTACTAGTGCTCCTTACACTGTCACTTCCTTCACGGTTACTTCCTCCACCGTTACTCCCTTTACTAGTGCTCCTTACACTGTCACTTCCTTCACGGTTACTTCCTCCACCGTTACTCCCTTTACTAGTGCTCCTTACACTGTCACTTCCTTCACGGTTACTTCCTCCACTGTCACTTCCTTCACGTTTACTTCCTCCACCGTTACTCCCTTTACTAGTGCTCCTTACACTGTCACTTCCTTCACGGTTACTTCCTCCACCGTTACTCCCTTTACTAGTGCTCCTTACACTGTCACTTCCTTCTCGGTTACTTCCTCCACCGTTACTCCCTTTACTAGTGCTCCTTACACTGTCACTTCCTTCACGGTTACTTCCTCCACTCTTGGTGTGTGTATCTTTCATGAACAAATGTCATAACAAAAGGGATGGAAGGGGTGGTATATTTGAAATAGAGAAGTGAGTGAGTGAGTTCAGCAATATTCCAGCTATATGGCGGCGGTCTGTAAATAATCGAGACTGGACCAGACAATCCAGCGATCAACAGTATGAGCATCGATCTACGCAATTGGGATAAGATGACATGTGTCAACCAGGTCAGCGAGCCTGACCATCCGATCCCGTAAGTCGCCTCTTACGACAAGCATGGGTTACTGAAGATCAATTCGTACCCGGATCTTCACGGGTTCAAATAGAGAAGAGTACATTTTGAACATTATTTAGGCTCTAACTATTTATTAAAGGGAGGGGTGTCCATAATAAAATGCCACTTGTATTGGAGTGGGGCCGGGATAAATGTTAATGGGGGTTGGCAACACGGTCCTAAGACAGATCTCACTTCACTTGTTTCTAAGTACAGTCAGATGTGCTGATGTTTTGCGCGAACTTTAGAGATTTCATTATCTTGTAACTTTGTACTTTGTTTACAACATTTTTGTTGGATGGAAAGTACATTATCTTTGCTACTTTCTGTATTGTCAAATAACATCATGCAATATGTCACTTTCTATCTTCCGAAATAATGTTGTTATTATTTTCAAACGTTATTTCTCACAGGGACACCAAGAATTATCTTAGAAATAGTTTTCTAATATCTTATATTAGCGAGACTTCTAAATAGGCTTAACTGGAAGTATCAATACAATGAAATTGCTTTCTTTGTATAGTGAAGCTTGCATTTCTGAATTAGTTTCGCATCAAGAACGTTACTTATCCAAGTTGAGTATTTGATCCAAATCAAATACCAACCCAACCATCCATCCCATGTTCTCCTTACTGAAAACTCCACTCCCAGTAAACTGTTTCGTCTGGATGGGGAGGATTATGTTATCACACTACGCCTCAACACAACACCAATTTGGTTGAGTCCACGGAAACTTCGACACAAAATGACAGTTCATTAAACAAGTGTATCAATTTCATGAATACATATTGTGATCATTCAAACAAAGGTTATCAACAAATATCACCCGTAATCTAGGAAACGACACATTCAGAAAACTGTCACAGATAATATATTTCATGATCCTTTGGTATTCACCGCCGCTCCTCGTAGACATCGCGTGTTTCATGGACAAACTTGACCACCAGCTAGTCACGTTCTAACACCCATTGGGATTTGTATTGAAGAATAAGTGTGTACAATTCATTGTAATGCTACGTAATGCCAGTGTATCTCTGAATGATTTTTCTAGGGTCTATTTGCAAGGGTTATCATTTTGACGCCAAGATATCGATTTGAATGTTGATGAAGGACAGTGAGCACCCCCTTCTGTTGGAATATGTAATTATTTCGTAATGGAGATGTAGTTTAACTTATTTGTATTACTCAAATAGTGTACACCATATGCCCAATTTACATTAAAGCGTATAAACTATCAGAAAAAATAATGTACAATGTATTATACGTGTGATTTACACATCAACAAACTCATTGCTTTCGGAGTAAAATATGTTTAACGGTGGGTTCACCAGCTGAAGCTATGAAAATAATATACTGTACAAATATAGGATATTAACAGAATTTCTGCAGTCTGTGTTTACGTTTCGGATGGTGATAAGCTGCTACACATTTGTACACAAAGATACTCAACTTCTCCCGTTCTTGTTTTGGGTTTCAGTTCTCTTCTGTATCTTACCCGTGAAGATCCGGGTTAGAATTGATCTTCAGCAACCCATGCTTGTCGTAAGAGGCGACTAACGGGATCGGGTGGTCAGTCTCGCTGACTTGGTTGACACATGTCAACGTATCCCATTTCCCATCAATGCTCATACTGTCAATCACTGGGTTATCTGGTCTGCACTTGGTTATTTACAGACCGCCGTCATATTGCTGGAAAATTGCTTAGTGTGGTGTTATACAACAAATAAACACGTGTGTGTGTCTGTGTCTTGAAGTCTCATTTCGAAGCTGGTGGGAACAACATCTCATCTAATCAAGTGCAGTCTTGTACTTAAATATAGTTTTTTCTTTGACATGTAATGCTGAACCAAAATGATATTTTGAATGTCCCAACGAGTGGTTTTCTTTAAGTTGATCATTAGGCAACCTGTCAGTCTTGCATATAACATAGATTTCCAACATAGCATCAATTCATACATGAAGCTGGCAATGGTATTAATAGATTGTTCCCATAAGTATCCCAACCAGAATGTGTTTGAACTTTTGATAGTTAGTCTTGCAGTAACCACGGCCTGACATTGATAGATTATAACATCTGAACCAAAAGTGATTCTGCCATATTGTATACATTACACCAATAATCATGAAGTATTTACACACCAACATGTACATAAAATATCCTCCGATATCAATCACATCGAATCAATAGAAAACCAACATTTTTTACATATAATATATATCAGAGTAGTAGTGTCCACTTAGGAGATAAACATCATGTGTTGACCAATTTCCGGGTGTTATTGAGTATTTGAAGCACGGGAATTCATTTCGAACCGACGGCGTCAGCCGTAGGTTTCAAATGAAATATTCCCGTGCTTCAAATACTCAATAACACCCGGAAATTGGCCAACACATGATGTTTATCGACATTGTAAACACAAAAGTAAACCAAAAGGTCCACACACGTTTTTGTGTCTGCACTCATTGACATCGAGTACGGGTACAGCAGTGAAATGTCATCAGCCGGCCGTTTCGGCTGTCTCCCATGGTAGCATCTGGACCTGCTCATTTGTGACGTCATTCGGACTTTACGTCACAATATGATTTTAATGACGTCATCACAGCTGACGACGTAAGAATACAATGGTGTGAGCGATGTTTGTATGTATCAATACGCAGCGAATTTCCGGGAATCGAATACCATTTGTTTTTCAACCAATCAGATGAAAGAACACAGTGACTTTTGGTTTACAATATAGGGTATCCTCTACCTTTTGGCATGATAAATAACCATTGGCAATAACATAGTTACATAACTAGAGGCATCTACCACAGATTCTCAGTCAGATACGCATCCTGAGTGATGGAGCCTAGTGGAGGAGAGGAAGCCAAGTGGATACACCTGTCGCCGTCGTGTTCGATTCTCTAGATGTTTGTACTATGTAGATCAAAGGTGCCTCATGCTGACACCGACTAAGATGGCACCGAGCATGACTGCGTGCCAGTGAGTTCAGTTGTCCGAACCGTGTTATAGCTGGAATAGTGCACACTGAAGTGATAAATAACATTCGCTATATTTTGAAAGGCGTACCATGTTGCCTGATACCTCGAACATTGCTGCGGCGACACGGAAGTCTACTCATTCCAGCCGAACGTTATTTCACTGCTGAAACAACGATATGCATTTTTTACATCTATATGATCCTGTGTCTTTTAATGGTAACAAGAGGCGGTTGGGTAGCCTAGTGGTTAAAGCGTTCGCTCGTCACGCCGAAGACCCAGGTTCGATTCAACCCATGGGTACAATGGGTGAAGTCCATTTCTGGTGTCCCCCGCCATGATATTGCTGGAATATTGCTCAAAGCGGCGTAAAACCATACTCACTTACTCACTAATGGTAATAATTAACTTACTTTTGCATGTATTCGTGCCGGGTGCCACCTTTTCGTGAACATCTAGTAACATCATTATTTGATACTAAATCAAAAACGTAATGCGTATCACTTTATCGATGGTGATTTCTTTTGATAACTTCAAGGGTCTTGTCGCTTTTTTGGGCATATTTTGATGCGCTGAGACTTATAATAATGCGACAGGACAAATAATGAGGGAAAAAATAAGTTTGTTGATTTAGTTAATAAATGGACCAATCTGTTGGTACACATCAATTTGCGGCACCATATAATGACAAGGACGAGCATATCGGGTTTGCAGTTAACGGCCCTTCCATTCAGAAAATAATAGAAATTATACACATTTGTCTGGCTGCTTTCTCTATCTCAGTGCCAATTTGTATTAATTATGATGTGGGAATAAAGTTTTGGAAACTTTCTGCTGCACTTGAATAATGAAAGACATGGGTTGTAATGCTTAGCAAAAAATACCTCTGAACCAGACAGAGCGTGCATGCCCACTCTGCTGCCTTCTAGAGGTTTGTACATGACCAGTGATATATCGATAGTTGTATTAACACTGCATAAACACGTTGTGGTGCTGTTCTCCGGTGATGTGATCGTTCTTCTGATTACATTTTCATCAGTTCTCTCTTAACAAGAATAATATCTGAACAATGGCATATCACAAATCTCCTTTAAAGTTGTCAATTTAGCCACATTGATTGTTTAATCTGATATGTTTTAGCCATTGAGTCCTTTTATGAATAGGACAAAATGCACAACTCCCTGTGAGGTTATGTAACTTGCGTCATTATTTATAATTTAGCACGCAAACGATTTTGTGAAAAAGCCTTTGTTATGTTTGACAAGTGAAGTAGTTTTTCTGCACTGCAACTAGATCAAATACGTTATTATTTGTTGCTCCCTATGCGAAGTGTTTACACTCAATGACATTGGAAGCTTGTGGCAAAGCGATATTACCGATCGAGTTAATGTGTTGTTTTTTTTTGTCTCAGCGTGCGTTTAGTTTTAACGCCGCTTTTAGCTAATTCCAGCAATATCAGGGCAGGGGACATCAGGAATGGGCTTCACACCTTGTACCCTTGAACGACTAGGAAACTGAAATGACGTGTGTCGGATGATGGGAGACGGATGGTTGATGGGGTGTGGTTAATGGGTGATGGCTGACGGGTGATGCATGATCGGATGTGGTAGAGTATTGGGATATGGTAAGGTATGGGAGATGCGTGACTGAAGATGCTTGATGGTGGATTGGTGATGGGAGATGGTTCGTTCATGATAGTTGATTATAATGAAGAGCGGAAAGATGGATGATCTTGATAGTTGGCAGTTGATGCTTGTTGGTAGAACGTGATGTTTGATGTGGGATCAGTGTTCCGGCTTGCAAATACAGAATAATAACCGATATATTTGTGTAAATATGTTCGTTTGATGAAACAGATTTAATATTGTAAACCTTTAAACCTAGTAAATTACGTGTCGGTGAATACAAGACCACCTGGTGTCAGCCTCTAGACCGGTGAGACACCAGTGAGACACCTTCTGTAGCTGACGTGTCGGACACTGTATACCATGTATTTCAGATGACTTCTCCACAGTGTTGAACCTTGGTACCCACGGTATCCAGGTGTCTCCGATACGGCTCCCTTCAGGATCGACTCGGATGAGGATGTCGATCTAGTCCGGAACTTGATCGAGCTGAGGGCGTCACAGAAGAAACGCTTCATCTTGCACTCCACGAAGCGGGACACTGTGATGCACGTGATGAGAGCCGTGAGTAATGTCTGTACACTAGGTACACTGTGATGCACGTGATGAGAGCCGTGAGTAATGTCTGTACACTAGGTACACTGTGATGCACGTGATGAGAGCCGTGAGTAATGTCTGTACACTAGGTACACTGTGATGCACGTGATGAGAGCCGTGAGTAATGTCTGTACACTAGGTACACTGTGATGCACGTGATGAGAGCCGTGAGTAATGTCTGTACACTAGGTACACGTGATGCGTGATGAGAGCCGTGAGTAATGTCTGTACACTAGGGTACACTGTGATGCACGTGATGAGAGCCGTGAGTAATGTCTGTACACTAGGTACACTGTGATGCACGTGATGAGAGCCGTGAGTAATGTCTGTACACTAGGTACACTGTGATGCACGTGATGAGAGCCGTGAGTAATGTCTGTACACTAGTCTGTACTGTGATGCACGATGAGACTGTGATGACACTGTGATGATGAGAGCCGTGAGTAATGTCTGTCTGTACACTAGGTACACTGTGATGCACGTGATGAGAGCCGTGAGTAATGTCTGTACACTAGGAGCCGTGAGTAACACTGTGGGTACACGTGTGATGCACGTGATGAGAGCCGTGAGTAATGTCTGTACACTAGGTACACTGTGATGTAATGTCTGTACACGTGATGAGAGCCGTGAGTAATGTCTGTACACTAGGTACACTGTGATGCACGTGATGAGAGCCGTGAGTAATGTCTGTACACTAGGTACACTGTGATGCACGTGATGAGAGCCGTGAGTAATGTCTGTACACTAGGTACACTGTGATGCACGTGATGAGAGCCGTGAGTAATGTCTGTACACTAGGTACACTGTGATGCACGTGATGAGAGCCGTGAGTAATGTCTGTACACTAGGTACACTGTGATGCACGTGATGAGAGCCGTGAGTAATGTCTGTACACTAGGTACACTGTGATGCACGTGATGAGAGCCGTGAGTAATGTCTGTACACTAGGTACACTGTGATGCACGTGATGAGAGCCGTGAGTAATGTCTGTACACTAGGTACACTGTGATGCACGAGAGCCGTGAGTAATGTCTGTACACTAGGTACACTGTGATGCACGTGATGAGAGCCGTGAGTAATGTCTGTACACTAGGTACACTGTGATGCACGTGATGAGAGCCGTGAGTAATGTCTGTACACTAGGTACACTGTGATGCACGTGATGAGAGCCGTGAGTAATGTCTGTACACTAGGTACACTGTGATGCACGTGATGAGAGCCGTGAGTAATGTGATGTACACTGTGATGCATGTGATGAGAGCCGTGAGTAATGTCTGTACACCAGGTACACTGTGATGCACGTGATGAGAGCCGTGAGTAATGTCTGTACACCAGGTACACTGTGATGCACGTGATGAGAGCCGTGAGTAATGTCTGTACACTAGGTACACTGTATACGTACATTGTAGACTGATGATGAGAGCCGTGAGTAATGAGTAAAATATTAGGTACACTGTGATGCACGTTGAGAGCCGTGAGAGTGAGGTGTGTGCACGGTGAGAGTGAGTAATGTCTGTACACCAGGTACACTGTACACGTACACTGTGGATTGCATGATGTGTATATGAGTAACATATTAGAGACGTTGGTTGCGAGTGAGTGTGTGAGTGCAGGGGCGGATACAGCATTTTGAGAAAGGGGTGGGTGGTGGACACTATTGAGAAATGGAGGGGAGCAAACTTCATTTTCACCCGAGTTTCAATGGTCATTTAACAAACTTTCAACACAAAAGGTGTGTGTGTGTGTGTGAGTGAGTGAGTGAGTGAGTGAGTGAGTGAGTGAGTGAGTGAGTGAGTGAGTGAGTGAGTGAGTGAGTGAGTGAGTGAGTGAGTGATGCTCCAACAATATCACGGCGGGGGACACCAGAAACGGGCGTTGTACCCACGTGGAATATGTAAACTGTGTCTTCGGCATGGCGAACGAACGCTTTAACCACTAGGCTACTATATCGGCCCTTAATCTAATATGAATAAAGGAACAAGACTAAGAAACATGACAAATGAACAACCGAATGCCTTCTATGTGAGTAAACTTTTAGAAGCGCAGGTTGAGAGTGAGAGAGTGAGCGCACGTGTGAGTGAGTGAGTGAGCGCACGTGTGAGTGCGTGAGTGAGTGAGTGCGTGTGTGAGTGAGTGATACTGCAACAATATCACGGCGGGGGACACCAGGAATGGGATTCACTCTTCACCCATTTCTGTATTAACAATAATTCATTATTCATATGTGGTGACCGATGAGCCAGGTTATCTGCCAGGGTAATCAATAGCACTGAATCCCACTAGCCATTTTGTTTGACTTGTAATTTACCGTTCCAGTGCTACAGAAACATGCGGGATGCCATACCGGTGTTAGATATGCAGAAAATTAATGAACAATATCCCATGTGAAATTCCAGAAACTCTGTTACTGAATGGGTCAATACCTGTGCACCGTTTCCTGTGTATTATATTGAACAGGGTATGCATGATATATGACACTAAGGCAGGGTACGGTAAAGGGTATCAGGCTTGTTGGCTTGTTATTTAATCCTGTTCCTTGTAGAATAAATTTAGGGGCGGCGGAGTAGCTTAGTGGTAAAGCGTTCGCCCGTCACGCCGAAGACCCGGGTTCGATTCCCCACATGCGTACAATGCGTAAAGCCCATTTCTTGTGTTCCCCGCCGTGATATTGCTGAAAATAAAAACGGCATAAAACCAAAACGTCACTCACTGACTCATTTGTCATGTTATTTAGTATGTTACTGGTCAGAATAGATTAAGGGGCGATGGAGTAGCCTAGTGGTTAAAGCGTTCGCTCGTAACGCCGAAGACCCGGGTTCGATTTCTTGACATGGATACAAAGCTCATTTCTGGTGTCCCCCGCCGTGATATTGCTGGAATATTGTTGGAAGCGGCGTAAAACAATACACCCTCATTCAATCATTAGTACACACCATGTTTGCATGTTTATCTTTGTCTTTCTTTTGGGATTCCTGGTTAGAATAGATCCCCAGTACTCCACTCCCGTGTCGCCGATGACCACACTAGCTACCACTATCCCAATGCAGGTCTACCGTTTTCATAATTATAATTATACAGTGCCCTATGATCCTCATGAAAGGGATAGCAAGTTCAACCAATTATTTGTCTGATCCACGTTGGATGAAGTATTGCCATATCGATCATTCGAAGGTAATAATCAGTTTCGGGAAAACAGTATCGGACACAATAGTAATTAAGCTTTAAATATTCTCGATTCCAGGCCAAACGACTTCATCTGCTGCACCACACAATACAGTGGCTGGTCGATTACCCGGTAAGAAGTCCTTGGATTTCGTTATATCAAAAGCTTTGGTTTCATCATGTCAAGAAACGATACATGGTAACCCATGCTTGTCGTAAGAGGAGACTAACGGGATCGAGTGGCCAGGGTCGCTGACCACATGTCATCGTATCCTAATTGCGTAGTTCGATGCTCAAGCTGTTGATCACCGGATTGTCTGGTCCAGACTCGATTATGTATTATGAAAGCTTGCATTATATACTCGTGCCAATAATGGTTGTCACCCCCTCCCCACCCCAACCCCCACACACCTCACACTCCCACCCCACACCCTCTCCAATTAAAAAAAATGAAGGGGGTGACAACCATTATTGGCATGAGTATATCTTCACACTCATTATCATTTAACAGAACAAATATTGCACAAGACGTTCAGTTGTACTTGTGGGCCGGACAATTGTTTAAGGTGCCGTATTTCCTGCCACAGACATCGTGTTATTGAAACCTACGACAGCTGTTATAAGTCCTCGGTTCGGCCGATAATGTCTCCGAGTGTGTCAGCACCGATCACCTGCTCTTTTTTTCACAAAAATCGATACCTATCTGAGTAAGTGAGTGAGTTGAGTTTTACGCCGCAGTCAGTAATATTCCAGCTATATGACGGCGGTCTGTAAATAATCGGATCTGGACCAGACAATCCAGGGATCAACAGCATTAGCATCGATCTACGCAACTGGGATACAATGGCATGTGTCAACCCAGTCAGCGAGTCTGACCACCCGATCCCGTTAGTCTCCTCTTACGACAAGCATGGGTTAATGAAGACCAATTCTTACCCGGATCTTCACGGGTGGATAACTATCTGAATATATAGCATGATTACTTCGGGCTTTACTCCCACATTAAACACACCGTGATTGAAATGCTGTTCAAAGCAGCGTTACTCCTACATAAGATTTTAATGAACTTACGTTAAGCGTTATTATACTCTTCAAACAAAGAAACGCCTAGGTTACCGTTGTGTTCAATTAAATGAGCAAGTTTCATTTGATAAAGACAAGAAGATGGTATGTTAACGTAGACTTTTTATCCACATAATTCATTGTCTCCTTTCAGGATTTTGAAGACATCGTCAAAGACGAAGAGTCGTGGCCTGGCAGCATATTCGGACTGCAACTATTGAGAGCGGATAAGATTCCAGCTAATATTTCACGTAACTACCTCGAGAATATTTTATGAAACGATGTATTTATTAACCATTTCATTTATTGATTCATTTTGTGTTAATTTAGATGTTCGTTCCACTGTTTTACTGTTGATGCCAAGCATCCACTCCTTTTGCCTCTGGCGGTGGGGTAGCCTAGTGGTTAAAGCGTTCGCTTGTCACACGGAAGACCCAGGCTCGATTCCCCACATGAGTACCATGTGTGAAGCCCATATCTGGTGTCCCCCGCTGTGATATTGCTGGAATTTTGCGAATATTGTAAAATTATACTCACTCACTTGGTACAACGTGACCGCCTCTATGCTGGAGACGTTGGTTCTATAGTCTTTATTCTTAATGCTGACGGGACACAGGCTCATAGTAAGGCTGTCCGTATTTTTTCCTGTGGTTTTGTATCTCACAACCGCCCTGAATTTATTATTTTTAGTTTTTATTTGTGTCATTTGATAAGTTACCAATAGTATTTGTACAGAACTAGTGCATAAAAAAATAATCAAAATTGTATGAATGACACAGTATTGCGTTTTTTCTCAAGTTATTGTATTTTGTACTTATAAATGTAAATGTATATGCATCCATTAACTCCACTAAATGTATATAACTTTGCGTACACAATCTTTTATATCTTGGTGTTAAATCATGAACGTATGCATTACGTCTCTAATGCATCAAATGCTGATCTAACTTTCAGAAGATGTGATGGTTTGTATAACTTATAATAAAGTCGGCGGTGGGGTGGGATTGTGGTTAAAGCGTTTGCTTGTCCGGTAAAAAGATCCGAGATCAATGATTCCCTACGTGGTTAAAATGTGATGCCCATATATGGTGTATTGTGTTGCTAAAGTATTGCCTTGCTAGAGAATTGCTAAAATACTGACTGTGACATGATGGTCCAATTCTGTCCCACTTGTTGTAGATGTTGCAGACCAGCGCAACATGACGAGGCTGGAGGTGGGGTTGGCTGTTGACGTTGTCGGTCTACTACGTCACGTCCTGTACACCAAAGCCAAGAACTGTAGTAGAGAACCTCGCGGGGACAACGTAATAGCTGCTGGAGAATTCAGCGATACGCTTACAGTGGTAACACATACTGGCGTTCCCGTCATAGTATCTCAGTGGCTATCTCAGTGGTATACTTTCGTACAAGCAGCCAAACCCGCATGCATGTAGGCTATATGAGTGCACTTATCTTGAACACGAACTTTAACCCAAGTTCGCATGAACTCAGTCTCCATTTGGACAATCATCTCTCTCCATCAACAGCTGTGAAGTATACTCTCCCAAAAAAGAAACGCATCATGAAAATAGCAATTTCATGTAGCAATGAAGTAAAACGTGATTCATTTTACAAAAGGTTTTGCTCTGTTTATGAGTCCTATGGTGTTTATGTTTTGAAACATCACAACATAACGCACCATCCGTAAAATACCCGTATTTAACAGCATGATTTTCAATTTCGGCTTGTAGTGTCACAGAATACACAATTCACATGCAATGCACATAAAAATTGGGGATCAGATAGTCTCAATGATGGGTATAAAAGGTTGATCGCTGTCTGTCGATTATTCACTGTATTTGGAATATTGTTGACGAACGCAAAATGCCACGTCTAAGTGAAGCCAACCGTCATATCGCCATTGGTTTGCTTGAAGCTGGCCAGTCTCAACGTGCAGTTGCCCGACGCATGAATGTTCACCAAAGCACCATTTCACGGCTCTGGGAGAGATATCGCCGGCAGAATTCGGTAGCAGATGCCCCTCGTAGTGGGCGACCTCGAGCGACCACTGCGGCGCAGGATAGCTACATCCGGGTACATCACCTGCGTCATCGAACACCTACGGCGACCAGTACCGCTCGACAAATCCTCGGATTGAGGAGGCTTTCTGCACAGACCGTCAGGAGCAGGTTGAGAGAGGCTGGTTTACGTGCCAGAAGACCTTATGTTGGCCCTGTGCTTCGACAACAACATCGTCGACATCGAGTTCAATGGTGCACCAACGTTCAGGCCTGGAACCTACCGAATTGGCGTAGAATCTGGTTCAGTGATGAATCACAATTTCTATTGGAACGACGCGATGGAAGAATGCGGGTGTACAAACGTTGACGTGAACGTTTCGCCGACGCTTGCGTTCCCCAGGTGGACAGATTCGGCCGGGACAGTGTTATGATGTGGGGAGCTATCACCTGCCGTAGGAGAAATGATTTGGTGATGATCCAGGGCAACCTGACAGCTCAACGGCACTGTGACGAAATCCTACGCCCACACCTCCTTCCAATCATTGATCGCCAGAGGGAGTTGTGGTTTCAACAGAACGATGCCAGGCCCCACACAGCACGTCACACTAGAGACTTCCTCCAGAACCACAACATCAATGTGCTTCCCTGGCCCTCAAGATCACCGGACTTAAACCCGATCGAACATCTGTGGGATGCCCTGGACAGACGGGTGCGACGCCGTAACCCTCAGCCCCAGACACTTCAGCAACTCGCACAAGCACTACAAGCAGAGTGGGCTGCGATTGGGCAACACGAGATTCTGAGACTTATTCGTTCGATGCCGAGGCGATGCCGTGCAGTTCTGGATGCCTACGGTGGTCACACGAGGTATTGACTTCAGCGCCACCACACGTCTCCATGTGACACTCAAACTGACTTTCCCCGAGTTGGTGCCAAAGACGGATAAGTCTGCATTCCCAGTGTGCAATGTCGCTATATTTCATTGACTCATAAAGCCTACAAGATGTTTCCAAATAAACATAAAAATACAGTTGGAATTCCTATATGCGTTTCATTTTTGGGAGAGTATATATATATGTATATTTCCAGGCACCTCCCTATCAGGGCGCGTTGGGGCAGTACATGTGGTACATCAACGACCGCAGCAACTACTCCATCGACATTCTCCACTACGAACAAACCCTCAAGAAGGTACACGTGCCAGAACAGATTGAGTGAGTGAGTGAGTGGGGCCTTACGCCGCTTTGATCTGTGTTCCAGGTATATCAAAGCGTATCAGCTTCAGGTGGCAGAAGCAGACTTAGTTGTGAATGAGTGAGTGAGTGAGTGAGTGAGTGAGTGAATGAGTGTGGTTTTATCCCACTTTTAGCAATATCACAGCAGGGTACGCGAGAAATGGGATTCACACTTTGTGGGGAATCAGACCCGGGTCTTCTGCGAATGCTTTAATCGCTAGGCTACCTCACCGCCTCCTTAGTAATGGGGGTATAAAAAGTTTACAACTTGGATGAAACTCCAATGGTGCTGACAAACCCTGAAACGTAATCAGAGCAAACCCATAAATACAGGATTCTGATGTGTGCAAGGGACACTACTCTGTACAGCTAATTGCGGCGCTTTATATGACTGTGCCACCCGTGGCCCCAACACGGTCAATATTTCGCTCGTCACATCGATTTGTCCAAGAGGTACACGCTGTAAGGTCGATTCTGGTGTCCTGCTGGGATATTGGTTGAATACTATTAGATCAACGTTTAACCCTACTATAACCCTCATTCAGTTACTGGCAGAGTGACTTATGAAACTTTGGTGAGTTAAACATTCGTTGGTTTCACATTACTTTTCAACTCGCTGTGCGCATGCGCAGAGCGTGTGAAAAATATCCAATGCATGCTTCCGGTTTGGTCGTATGTTTATCGATAGTGTAAATTCACGCTAAACAAAAGTTGTTGTGAAAATTATTTACGTTGTGACAGCTGAGTACATAATTCCATTTGCCTCTGCTTTTCAATAATTGATGTCCTATTTTGGTTGCAACTCCATTAGAGATGTGTTTGTTTAGTGGTGGTAAGATGTCTTTATACAAGAGCTTAATAAATCAACTGGGATCAGTTGTATTCGACATAAAACTATATATTTGTTTTGATTTTTGTTTTCTTTGGAGTGTTTACGCTATCGATAAAAATACGACCAAACCGGAAGCATGCAGAGGATAGTTTTCACACGCTCTGCGCATGCGCACAGCGAGTTGAAAAGTAATGAGAAACCAACGAATAACCCTAACTCAGTCTAAGTAAACTTAGGCTCAGTATTATTCGTTACATTGCTATACTGAGTCTAACAAAACCTTATAGAAGGTCGCGTCAGCTAACTTTTTGGACTGATCAGAACACAGCTTACCAAATCGCCAAAGTTAACATTCGCACATACCGTTTGAACCTTTACCTCAAAAACTCGAACGATTCCGAATGCTATTTTCCGCACGATCGCTTCCGAGTGATACACGCAATGAGTAAACCACAGGGGCGTGTCACGCTTAGAAACAGCGTTAGAAAGACATATAGGTACATAGACGCTACCCTAGTACTATATAAAATGAAAGGGATGTAACGACGGAACCACCCCCCCTCAATCAAAGTTAGATTTCACCACGTAAACTATTTTTAAGGCCCCGTCGAGGCCTACGGATCGAAAGCGAGATGATTTCCCTACAAAATGAGCTATAAATGGTCACAATCGGATCATTATTTCAAAAGTTATACGCCACGACTCACCGAAAACAGCTACCTCCGCAATTCCAAGCCAAAATCATGGATCACCCAAGACAGCGAAAACTCACCTGTTAAATTCGTGTATTAATTCCAGTCACGTTGACAGCACCTATGTAGGGCTAGATTCGATCGGCAGCGGCATTCCACGGGTCTAAAAACTTATTGCAACATCTACAAATCATTTCCTCGACAGTAAGCAGGCATTTTCTTCAAAACCATCGGCAATCATACTCACTTGTCGGGGGATATTTATTTTCATGGTTAACTGTACGGTTATACCCACCAACTTTAACTTGTTGCCCGGATACAATCATGGGCAGATAGACCTTGTCATCGGTGCTCATGATTTCGGCAACTGGTTTGCCAGCATCATGTTTGTCTTTCAATAGGTTGGCCAGTGTACTTTCATCAACGAGACGTCTTCAGTGGATCTGTTTGCCAACTTTACCAGGACTAAGGTCGGTGAGAAAAGCTTGCCTCGGGCTAAGGTTGAGAAGCTCAGAGTCGTGGCGCGGCTGGTAAGTATGACAATGCATTATACAAAGTTAACCCCCTGTTATGACTGGACAGTGAGTGAGTGTAGTTTTACACCACGTTTAGCAGAATTCCAGCAATAGCAAGGCGGAGGACACCAGACATGTGTTCCACACATCAGGTCCTGAAACACGTGAACCCACTTTAACATATTGGTTTAATATGTATTTAATTAAAGGTCTGTTACTTGACAGAACAGAACAAAACCTTTACGAGGCCGGGATACTCGGCATAAGAGATATAAATATACGGTTAAGAATACATAGGATGGCCGTATGCTTTACATGGACAATTATACAGTTTTCATGATTTTTCTTACATATTATGCATATATTTTTTAAAACACTTCATTGTTTGCAGTTAAACAAATTGGTTATTCAAACATTGGTTTGGGATATATATTTTCTGATGACGTTTGAAGAAAGGGAAATGTATGACATTCATCTGATGAGAACGTTTGAAAACGCATGTATTCTGCTTTATTTCAATACGAAAACTAAAACTGTGTTTAATTTCAGCATGAACCCTTTGTAATGAAAAACTCCGAAGGCGAATTTGAAGGTTTCAACGTGGATCTGCTGTCCCTCATTGCTCAGAAAGTCAACTTTACGTATGAGATAATAGAAGTAACGGACACGGAATACGATGGGGAGATTATAAACGGCATGGTGCAGGAACTTCTGACCGGGGTACGTCACGAACATTCATAGATCAATATACAGTATACTACGGTTATGACGAACTCACTTATTGCAGTTCGATATAACCGTAGTTCGTTATACTTATTATACAGCAGTGGTAGTGGTTATACTTATTATACAGCAGTGGTAGTGAGTTAAACAGTTCGGCATGTCCGTCAGTTCATTAAAAGCGTGTTCGTTATAATACAGTTTCCTGTTGTAGAAAATTCCATATATTTCCTCTCTGACGTTAACACCGTTATCGTCCCGGCAATTAGTGAGTGAGTATGGTTTTACGCCGCTTGCAGCAAAATTACTGCAGATAATAGCAAATGTTGGGAATGGAAAGCGGGTCTTCGACTTGACGAACGAATACTTTGACCACTAAACTAGTCCATCACCCCGTCCGAAAAATGAGAGCCCGTTTCACAAAGAGACCTTAGCTTCGTCAAGGACTTAAGGATACTTATGATATGCCTGAATATTTTGTCAAACCCAGTTCAAACCAGTGTAACCGCTTCATCTGGCTAGCATAGATCTGTGCATGAAGATTGATAAAGAATATCCAGTTGGCAAAAAAAAGGGAGATTTTGTTCGTGATAAGGATCGTACGAAGGAAAGCATACTGGCGCTAGTTTTCGGCTTTCTAGTTGAAGTTTTCCCCACTGTTCAGCAATATGCAACAGCTCAGGCCTGTTATGTCTCCTTTTCACAAATTTTGAGGTGCAATTGAACGTCTTCTTTCTCGGGACTCTGACTTATACGTTGTCTGTTCAGGAATATAGCATTCAAGGCCTCAGCAAATCTTTCAAAACGTTTAATGATATATATTTGGGGAGCATTTCTAAATTTGACGTATCGCTAACCAAAATGATGTCCGATGACATTCTCTTTCTTGTACCACCATATGTTCCCGTGTATTTTCAGGTGAACAACTGCCTTGCCTTTGTATGTGTTTATGACTGGTTCCACCGGTGGGATTTTGTATGATTATTATCTTATAGTGATTCTTAAACACATTTTAGCAGAGATTCTTATGAATAATGGAAATTGATTTCGTTATATGTAGGTAAACGTCTGAGTAATTATGTAAGTACTCCTTCTGCGTGACGAGCTGACGCTTTGACAACGTTATTACCTAACAGCCCGTAGACGTCAAAAGTAAAGTTATATTTAAAAATAGAATTAGTCATAAAATACGTATTACTTCACCGAAAAGCGCTTAAACATACTTGGAATTATCTGTAAATATTTACTTCAATAACTGATGATAGAAGAAATATCGGAAGTATTGAAAGACACGATCAGTTATGGTTACGGTGTAGATGAAATTTATGACTTCCAAATGTTAATTATCATCCAATCAAATCTCGGAAACTCTTGGCTACGTCCGATATTCTTTAAAATAATATTGCAGGTTCTGAATGGAATAACGTTGGTATTTCAGAACGCGTCTATGGCGGTTGGCGCCCTGGAGGTAACGGCGAAGATGGAGGAAGACATATCCTTCTCCTACACTATACTGTCAACAAAAGCAAGCATCCTCGTCAAGAAAGGCGAGAGCACCAGAAATTTCTTTCAGTTTCTTGGACCTTTTTCTATAGGTAAGGCAGCGTTTATTGTCGCATCTATACTACTAAAACACTGAGGACCTCCAGATGCCTTGATATGACTATAGCATGAAAATATACTTCACGAAATATGTTAAGGACATCGATTTTTTCTTATTTGTATTGTTAATTTGTCTCGGCATGACATATATACTACTCAAATTAAGGACGACTCATTTCTTCCCAAATACTACATTGAAATTGTCATGGCATGAGGGAATAGCTATAGTAATATGAAACCATCCTTAACGTTTCTATTTTGAGACAGTTATCGGCGATGACAAACAAGCTTAATTCAACAAATTGTTTCTTGATAAACGTATCAGTAACTTAGGGCATGGTACGGTCAGTAAAGTTAGATCTTGTCATACAAGATGTAATGGGTATTTGATGGATGTAATGGATGCAGAGCTTGGACAATCCAGAAGGAGACCAACTGATGTGTACCCATGCAGACATTTATACTAACAGCTTATATAATTGCTTTCCAGACAACATCTTGTTCACATGGATCATTATTCGTCCACAGCCGTATGGCTGTTATCAGGATACGCTTCACCCTCATGTGTGTTAAGAACCTGAATTAATGTAGAGGTTTTCCATTTCACCAGGTTTATGGTTCATGATCCTGGGGTTCATCATGGTGGCAGGAACCGCCTTGTACACCATGAGCCGGTTCGACCACACCCAGGAGAACAGCGAGCAGAGGTTCGACCTCAAGGAGAGTCTGTGGTACTCCATTAACGTCTTGTTACAGGTAGGTTTTGGTTTGTTTCTTGTGTAATGCAGCACTCGGCAATGTCCCAGCCTCTGAACCAGACAATCTAGTGATCAACATCACGAGTATCGATCTATGCAATTGGGATACGATGACAGGTGTCAACCGGATCTCCACGGGTTCACGGTTAGGAGTGAGTGAGTGAGTTTAGTTTTACGCCGCACAGATCAATATTCCAGCTATATGGCGGCGGTCTGTAAATAATCGAGTCTGGACCAGACAATCCAGTGATCAGCAGCAAGAGCATCGATCTGCGCAATTGGGAACCGATGATATGTGTCAACCCAGTCAGCGAGCCTGACCACCCAATCCCGTTAGTCGCCTCTTACAACAAGCATGGGTCACTGAAGATCAATATTCTAACCTTCAAACATACGTGGCATTGACATTGATGTTGGATCCTTTTACCGTGGCTTTGAATTCAGGATTTCGCTGTGAATACGACCCCACCATCGGTACCGTCTCAGACATGCATCACTCTGGGCTTCCTCACACATCAACTTGATATGCAGTGATTGGAGTTAAATAGTGTTCAAAGCGCATTCCCTCATACACTCTGGTGAATCTTACGTATGTCTCGAAAGTGGTATAAACGACATTAATTAATGATTCGTTTGGACTAATCTTGTCCTGAAACTGAAGATGAGTATCTCGCGATGGCCCTGAAGACAATTCAATCACTTTCCTATGGAATCCGAGAAGGGACATTGTCGCGTTGTCGCATTGTCGCCCTCTCAAAAACAAGTAAAGTGAGGCAAAATAAACCAAAACGCGACACGCGACATTTCTCCCATTTGTCGCATTGTCGCGTGTCGCGTTTTGAATACTATTTTTCTATTCCTCCAAAGGGCGACACCGGACATAGCGACAAATTTCAAGGTCAAAATATGTCGCGTGTCGCCCTTTGGAGGAATACAATTTTTTTTTTTAATTCAAAACGTGACACGCGACATCGCGACAATGCGACAAATGGGCGAAATGTCGCGATGTCGCGTGTCGCGTTTTGGTTAATTTTGCTTCACTTTGCTTGTATTTGAGAGGGCGACAACGCGACAATGCGACAAAGTCCCTTCCAGGATTCCATACTTTTCCACTTTAGATGTTTCTGTTGAATGTACGGCTAGAAGACAAGAGCATTAAAGATGCGTACATCGTCGGTATTTCCATTTATAGTGAAATAACTTTTATAGTTAAAATATATTCAGGAAAAATATAGCGAAATGGAAATTTAATGGGATGAAATAAAATTATACTTTTACGCTTATCACGGACCTAGCCCAGTGATGAAAATCGATCCACATGGTAATTTTAATACATTTTCCCTGTCAATCAATACCACGATCGGTCAGTTACAAATACCGGCACGATCTTTATTACATCTCGTCATTGAAGAGAAATTAATTTTGCTTTTGTTTTTTAACTGTCTTTGTCATCAATAACAGTACTCGTATTCCGTTATCCTATCTGACACTCGGCATTATTGACATAAGCACTAGTTAGGAAACTAAAGTATCCCTGTTAAAAGACGGACGAGTACGAGCACCCTTGATTTCCATAAATTCAGATCACTCCGTGTTCCAAGAGTCCTGAGTTTACGCCCACATATGGACGCGTTCGTAGACAATTGCATGTTGAAAGTCAAGTACTGATATATCTGTGTCTGTAACAGGTTGAATGTAGGTTCCACAAGTCACATAATGTCCATACTTCCAGGGCACAACAGAGTATTCCCCCCAGACGACGTCCATGAGGACCATCATCGCCTTCTTCTGGTTCTGCGTCCTCATCATCGACGCCGCCTACACCGCCAACCTGGCCGCCTACCTCACTCTACAACAGATGGATAACAGGTGATTAGATGGAATGGCTTTGTGTTGTGACAAATTGTCGTGTGTGTTTATAAAGTGTTACTGTGTACCAACCATAAACGTGATTTGTCCATGGTGTCAAATATTTGCTGGGTGGCAGAGAAGCCTAGTGGTTAAAGCGTTCACCGAAGACCCGAGTTCAATTCCCCACATGGTTACAATGTGTGAACCCTTTTTTGGTGTGCCCGTCGTGATATTGATGGAATAATGCTAAAAGCGGCGTAAACCTAAACTCACTCCACTGTTACCACCAGCCAATCACACTGTTCATTTTAAGAAAGTGTTTGTTTCCTAATGCCTCTCCAGACAGCTTATTGCGGATACAGAATTGTAGTTCAGCGCATGGCTATTTTGTTTGTTTTTCATCCACAACACATGTATGTTTCAACTCTCTAATGCAGCACCAGTCCCTCTTGTTGCATCTTTTACAAACTTCATGTTGTTTGGTAAACAATGTTAAAAACAGACAAACAGAAGTACAAACCTAGACCTCCTGTAAACAACTACCCAGGGGACAATGGTGCACTTCTATGTAGGAATATGCCATCTCTGTACCATCAGGGAGCTGTCGCTGAATCTGTCCGCATCCCTGATGCAGCCCACACGATCTGACTATGATACCCTTGTGTAATAGATGTAGTAACCGAGGCCCGGGGTAAACAATGTGGGCGGCACAAGAGGGAAGACATGTTAGAAGCAGTCAAATTTAATCAGACAGAGAGCCCGTGTAAGTGGATCCGTTTAGTGACTGATGAAGTGTACCTAGAATTGCGTCTGTGAATTCCGTTGTACTGAACGGCAGGCCGTGTATGAAACACTTTGTGTTATTGGTTTGGGTATCATTTGCCCTGGAAATGTTAATGTGTGTAAAGTATTTCTCCTCTGAGAATATGAAAAATACTAACGACTAATCCCTTAGAAGCAAATTACATCTTACCTAAAATCGATGAGAATTAGAGTGAACAGTTGGTTGAATAAACTTGAGATGCATCATAGATGACTTAAATCAAAAATAATTTGACAGTAGTAATTATTTGGTGGCCCATGAAGTAAGTGTGCGGTTTGAATGATACACTTTAATAATGTTGATCTTCAGAATATTTACATATTAACATTTCAGATGATGCAATTAGGATGGTTAAATTGGAGGCAATCTGATTTTGCACCGATTCTTGTAATGATAATTTGTTTGAGAGATATTCAAGTATATAAATGTTTGGCTGTAAATACAGAGCGTCAATGACTGACGGTAACCAGTCTCGATTACCTGGCGAACAGATTTCAATGGGTGTAAAAGGCAAAACTGTGGTGGACATTATACGAATAATTGTAACTGAGTGTTGACACCGGGTGTTCGGAACAGGAAGGCTGGAGCTGAAGATGAGTTTTAATACCACACATAAACTGATGTATAACAGCAGAAATGTTAAAGGTTTGTAAAATGTGGGAAGGTTGTGAATGTGCCGAAACATTCCCTTAGACACCGATGATGATACTCGAGGATAGTTGAGTAGTTCGTGGAAGAAAAGTTCACTTGCTTACGACACTCAGTACTAGGTTCGATTCTACAAATAGTATGTTTTCTGATACGAGCGCTGGTTCCGAATAGATTCAGTTACCAGCTGGCTATTCTTGGTGTAGGTTTGAACCCAGTTTCTATGATGCCATGATAATATAACAATACACGTATATGTAATAATAATTAAATGTATGATTACAGGATCCGGACAGTGTATGACCTGGCTGGGCAGACCGAGATGTTGTACGGCGTTGAGAACAATAGCAATCTGATGACATTCTTCAAGTAGGTTCAGGGCAGGTCGGGTGGTACAGTAGGTAATGCGATTGCCTGACAGTAACAAATCCAAATGGTATTCCATACGTGAGAAACAGGACCAATTTGCAAATATCAGGATGGAATAGATAATATTCTCAATACGCATCTCTTTGTGGTTCGATGCTCAAACGTTCATCAGTCGGTATGCCTCCTCCTGACTGTTTATCGATACATAGCTCACTTGATGTAAACATGAAAAATACGCCAGAGATTAAGCAGTCTCAGTGACCCAAAGAACTAGATTTTATTTGGACGTTAAAGGTAAAGTAGAGATGAAAACTATATCAATCCGCTGTGACACCGGGTGTTCTCCAAGGGTAAGCATGTCCTTTTCTCCATGATAATCCAGCTCACACATTTTGCATAAAAATAAGTGTTTTATGTAACCAGTCTCGGGGACCTCTAGAACCAGATTCCATTTGTGCGTTAAAGGTAAAATTAATATATGAATGGCTCTCTGAAAATCCGTGATGGTCCATGTCCTGTTCTGAATAGGAATGCATCTCACACATACATAAGAAACTAAGTGTTTTGTGTTACATAACACCCAACAGCACTTTTCGCATTCCTTATTCCAGAACAGCCAGTGTGGACCCATACGAGAGAATGTGGGCTTTTATGAAGCTAAAGGAAGAACAAACCATATTGTCGAACAAAACCAAGATCGTCGAGCTGGTTAAGGACGACAAGTACGCCTTCATCGCTGACAGGGTCGTCAACGACTACTACGCATTAGGTCACTGTGAACTGGAGTCCATTGAGCAGAACTTTGGGCAGAAAGACTTCAGTCTAGGCTTTCCAAGAGGAGCTCCTTACAAGGACGATGTCAACAGAGCGCTGCTGTCTCTGAAGGAGGAAGGAAAACTGGACATCCTCACGAAGAAGTAGGTACCTCCAGTGCCGTAGATAGAGGAAGACATTTATTTTGAATTATACTCTTGAAGCTTAACAATATTAGACACAGACCAACTCAAGCAGGTTGGTTGGTTGGTGTGTTGTGTAACGCCGCACTCAGCAATATTGCAGCTATATGGTGGTGGTCTGTAAATAATCTAGTCTGGACCAGACAATCCAGTGATCAACATCATGAACATCCATCTACGCAATTGGGATTCGATGACATGTGTCAACCAAGCCAGCTAGACCTGACCACCCGATCCCGTTAGTCGCCTCTTACGACAATCATGGGTTGCTGAACACCAATTCTAACTCGGATCTTCACGGGTCAACTCAAGCAGGGCCGTGTAATGTACAATGTAACAGTGATATGGGAAAGATAGAGCTGCCAGTTTTCTGGACACAACAGTGGAAGTGTATCACAATTTAATAATTGATCAAACCAAAATATCGTCATTTCTTCTACAACAAGGAAATGTCGATGCATTAATTTAGCAATGTCGAACCAACTCATCAGCCACACTTTCCACCCTAGCCAGGTCAGCGTGGAAATTAATGAAAGAATGTGTAACACTCTGTTATAGATTGATTTAAGACCTTTTTAAAAAGAGATTTGGATAAAAGTTTATAATATAAAGATAAAAGATGTGACACTGAAAATAGCGACGTTTCGGTATAGCTACCATCATCTAGTGACTACTGAATATGGTACAAACTTACATGTGGTTAGTGAAAGAACAAAATAACAACTATTAATATAAACAAGAAGGATTAACATGAGTAGGTTAACTATTAACAACCGAGCATATAATTGTAACAACACAATGGACAGAGAACACACAAAGAGGTACCCAATTACGCCGGAATAAATCTCTGGATGCACTATTAGAAAACAACCTCTTGCTTGATAAGTTCACAGTCAGCGGCGTAGGAACGGGGTGGGGGGTGGACGAAATCATATCTACCTGACCATAACTACAATTTCATTTTGATTTTCAATACTTTTCATAAATTAGATGGTGGACGTCACGCACCAATTGTACCGGCGACTCCAAGACCAGGTCAATCAAGGACAAGACCACCAAGGAGCTGGAGCTGACCAATATGTTCGGCGTCTTCATCGTCCTCGGCTCCTTCGTCGTCTTGTCGGTCATCGTGGAGATTATAGAGAGGATCACAACGTGTGTAGAAGGCAAGAAGAAGCAGAAGAAGGTAAGCTGGTATCATCCTCGTTTGTGCAGGGTGTTTTTTACAGACAAATAACATAACAAGAAACTGGTACAGACAATATTGGTGCAGTGTTATCAGAAGGACATATACAAAAGAGAGACCAATGGTTAAAATGACGTTTTAGATCAGACAAAGTATACAAGTTAATCACTAGATTGTGTGATGGAGACTCGATTATTTACAGACTACCGCCATAAAGCTGGGATATTGCTGAGTGTGGCGTTAAACAACAAACAAACAAAAGAATGCGGATATAGAGATAGTTCATGACAGTCTGAATTTTTGGAATTAGACTTTGGGGTTACGGAAGGGGACAATGCATGGTTATTGTCCATGATTTTCATTACATCGTGTTGTGTCATTTCTCCGGCACGCGCTTTCTCCAGTAAAACAGGTCATTACATGAAACAAGGAAATGGGTTCAGCATTTTCTGAGATAAGAATGGCGCGCGGGTATCTCAGACGAGAGTTGCGTCCCTTAGCTGTGTGAGAATCCGATAATCTTGAGCGCGAACAATGTGTATGAATCTCTGTTAGTCATCATGGTGATCGCAAGCTTGACCAAACCGAAAATAGTCCTGGGACTTAAACAAACTTTCATTCCATACATGCCAGTACGAAAGGATACTGCAAAGCTTTCCAAACCTTACATGCACCTTTCCATATACCACGATCAATGGTTCTTGTGACAGGTAGGGGCGCTACTCTGCATAAAAAATGTGCTGAACTTTAGGCAACGGGCCAAACCGTGTCTCCTGTAATATAACACGGAGTGATAGTAAACCAGACCATACCGAGCATGTCATGTGAGCCTGTTTCTATATATTTCAGGAGAAGGAAGAAACAAAAGAAAAACCCAAGCCATTGAGCGATGGATTCCAGCCTCCCGCATTAACTGAAGGATCAGAGAAGAAAGAGAAGTCACTGTTTGCTGATTATTGAAACAATGGCGCACACGATGATGCTGGCGATGCGGAGACTGGTGGACCATGAGTAATTCCGAAGAGCTCTTTCCAGGAATCTTTGTGACTTTAATTTAACATGCTGTATTCTGGACCGGAGCTTAGTGGTAAACTCACGCAATGAAGCAGTGAGACTACAGTTGGCTCTCAGACGCCTATTAATGTCAGTCTACGTTCCATGGACCAATGTCTAAATTACCAAAATATTAGAAACATATTATGCTCAGACAGGTTCAAAGACGAGACGTCAATTTCGATGAAACGTTGAGCAAATGTTCGTACTGATCGTATACAACATGCAATATGATCGATTTGTTGGCAGGGCAATCAGTGTGTTATGGTTTTGTCCGGTTTAAACATACATTCATAAATATCAAGAATGTCCGGATTTTACCTTAACTCTGCTGGTTAGTTTATTGGTTTTCTGCCCACCTAGGTAATCTGAGTGTCTACGCTGCTTATACTAAACATGATATATTCCATATACTGTCTAAAAAAGTGTCTATGATGTTCCATTTGTTGTGTCAATGTTCATCTATCATGCCCCCAAAATAATTAATATACAATTGTATACGCCGTTCCACTCTTTAAAGTTAACACTATTTTTATGCTCTTGGGCTTCGCCAAATTGTAAATATCTTTGAATTATGTCACCTTTGGCTTCCTTCCGACAATATGCATGACACCTACTCGGACCTAAACATGTAATTGTTCAAAGCGCCGTTGAACAAATCTTTTTCACGCACCGTAATACAGTTTGGGGCTTATGTTGAAATGCAAATGTTTTTAAAGGATTCTGTAAAATTGAAGTTTTGCATATATATTTGTATGTAGACGTGTGTTTTTTATTGTATGTGTGAAGGTAGGGCCTGTCTCTAATAAATAGGGTGTTGTTTGTTTTTGTGAAATGGTGGCTGAATGTTGTTTACTCTTTGAGTCTGGTGTTGATGGGGCGTTGTGGTTCAGGTTAGTGTTGGTATTTGGTTGAAATCTCACAACTGACGATTGGTTCATTACTTACGAGCAATCATCGAAATAAAATTGTCAGATTTTCCTGTTCAGGTTGTTATTGCAGATAAATATAAAGAAAAAAACAACACGTTTTTTAAAAAAATAGTTTTTAATAGTTTTACTGAGAAAATTTCACATCCAATGTAACACGATGCAACTTCCTCCTTTAAAGTGATGACAATTATATCATGACTAATATATCCCAGAGTGTTCAAGAAATATTCAGTCATGACTTTGCAGTAAGTGAAGTGAGTTTTCAAAGAATTAAAACACGTTTTCAGGCCCTGACAACTTCTAAGATATGTTCCATCTTCAAGTGTTTCAAACACTTAAACAGTAGGTCCAAAATTGTTTGTGTTCGATTATGAGAAAATGTGATCGATTGCTTGGTCGTTTGGTCACTGAGGCCAATCTTCGATTATTTCAATTATTCGGAACACCACAAGTTCAGGTACAATGGATTGTCCACGGTTACTGTCGTTTGTACTAGCAACGCGTTTGGGTGCTTCGGGTTTGGTGGTGTTTCCGGTGATGGCTCATGGTAGAGTACCGATGGAGATGCAACTGATGAAGCATTTTCTTAGATGGGGAAAGGCCGATTTAGGTTTGGTGGTCTTAAGATGCAGATCAATGTTAAACCTTGCTGAGCTGTTGACGCGATAGGAGACTGTAATCAGATAAAAATATTATGCAAAATAAAATATCGGTGATGATCAATCAAATATATTCTGTAGTTGGTTAGTGCCGAGATATTCTGGGTTCCAAGTACCTTCCGTTTATGCACATGTATGTGGATCCGGTGGTCACAATGGGGTCGTTACATTGGATGTTGTCGGCGTGGGTCGTTTGTCATCATATTAATCACTATTTTGCCTGATACATATGTGATTTTACACGTTTCGGGGATATAGCTGCTAAAACATCATCGAGTAATGTGAGTGCTAATATGCAGGAACTGTTGAGTGAAGTTGAATTTTATTTGCTCCTGAAGCTGTTCAAATTAAATTACAACATAATTTTTTACAATTTGTGGAAATAAATGTGTTTGTCTACTCAAGTTTCTATTTTTATCCCTTTCCACATGTATTGGCAACTCAGTACCCAGTGAGCTGTAGTGTATATTTAAGAACAGAGAGCGAGGCTTCCACGCCGGTGTTCGGTAAAAAAAATCCTAAATTTGCCTTGGTTAAAAGTCCTCAGGAAAAAAGTCCCCTTTTCATTTTCTAACCAGAAATGTGTAGAAACACAGAGTTTTCTCATTTGTTATTTTTTCATTATCACTCATATTGAATTCATTTCTGAATACAATTCAGATTGCAATAATGCACATGCAATAGGCACATCTCCAATTGTGCTTGGAAATGAAAGCTAAATATACAACATTTTCTGGTGAAAGCTAAATAAACAATATTGTCTGGTGACAGTATGTTAACAACAAACAAGGATATAAGGATATGTTGTTTTGGTTATTTTGAAAGGACTGTTTGCACTTATGTTAACGAATTATAGCCCTACGAACTTATATGTAATCGGATGTTTGTACAGATTACAAGTCAACATAATGGCAGCGAATGCAATGATATTATAGGCATGATATGATAGGTGTTTCTCACAAAAGTGTTGCCTAGTGACGGTATATTAAAAAAAGAGAATATCTTATTTTTCTTAGCAAACATTTCTTAATTACCTGTTTCCTTAAGGATATGATAGACAAACTTGGCTAACTTAAGAATATTATTTTCAGACTTACTTTTCACAAATTGTACAAACTCGGATTTTGGTACAAACTCTTATCTAAATACAACTGTCTATATTTTACATACCTTGGACAAACCATTACAACATGATACTCATCTTCCAGATAACCGGTACAAAAAGGACATATTCTATTCGATATATCTAACTTCCTCCACCGTCCTTTTTCTACCAATAACATATGAGAACTTAATCGAAATCGCATTGAGCCTATTCTATATTTAGCTATTTCTATCCTACATAGATAACGTTCAAATTACAGTTAACATTATTAGTTGTAAGTTACATAATGCATCATATGATGACATGAGAATCTGATAGTCTAGGCCTACTGATATTTATGAAGTCGGGTGTTCACTGCCACAGTGTAAAAGCTCGGGGATGGGCTTCCCTCCAGCGGCAATGTCACTACACAGTTTGTGCAGACGTTTGTGCACATCATGCTGTTTTAGATGTCGGTTAAGATCAAACATCAATTTAAAAAATTAATCTGTCCTCATATGTGATTTCATCATGGTTTTCTAAAATCTTTGATGTCAAAATTTAATCTGTCACTATATGTGATATCAATATGTGATGTCAATCTTGTCAAATAAATAACTAAATCAGTTTTTACTACAAAAGGACTTTTTTAACCAAGGACTTTTTACTGGTACTTTTTTTGACCAAGGGCTTTTTACCGAGGACTTTTTCCCTATAATCTCCACGCCTGGTCAACATAGTTTTGTCTCGGCCTGTCTCAGGTTATTACGGGTGGATTTTCACCTGGATACCCACAGAAATCCAATTGGCATTGGCTGTGTGTGACTGCAGTAAAACAGTGTGGAACATTGTGTGAGGCACCTTAGACAGACTTTCGAACAATGTGTGAGGTACCTAACCTTAGAATATCCATTTAACACGAAGTTATCTCACCTCAGACTGTCGAGGTATCTTCGAATCATTAGAGCACATATAGTCGAGTTATCTGTGAAGCATCTGAGCACAGACTGTCGAGTTATCTATAGAACATGTCAGCACAGATTGTCGAGTTACCTGTGGGCATATCAGCACAGATTGTCAAGTTCTCTTTGAGCCATCGCATCACAGATTGTCAAGTTCTCTGTGAGTCATCGCATCACAGATTGTCAAGTTCTCTGTGAGTCATCTCTTCACAGATTGTCGAGATATCTGTGATGCATTTCATGACAATGTACGAGGCATTCCCGTTTGGTTTTCCTTAAAAGCACACTCCGCATTATTCCAGCTATAAGGCGGCAGTCTGTAAATATTCGAGTCTGAACCAGAAAGTCCTGTAATCAACATCATTACCATTTGTCTACGGAACTGGGATACGATGACACGTGTCAACCAAGTCTGCGAGCCTGACCACCCGATCCCGTTGGTCGACTCTTACGACAAGAATGTGTTACTGAAGATCAATTCTAATCCAGATCTGCAGGAGTTCGAGGCATTCCGCCACAATAAACTGTTGACAATGGTTATGGCATCTAAACACAGACTGTCGATTGTTTGCACTTTAGTTTCAAAGTCGGTTAAAAAAATAACTGAAAACTGTCTGTGAAAAGAATGGACCGACCAATCATCAGAGAGAATTCATAGATGTGTTTTAATGCTGATAATATCACGGACTGAAATAATTACCAAGCAAATATGTAACAAACGAATTGCCCAATTTTCTGTGTTGTTGCATTCCGTCCCAACATTTAGTATTTAGATTAGTATCAAATGCATGCATGATATTCGTTCTGTAAATACAAGTGTGTTAATTAAACACAAAGGAAAAGGTACGTACACACACACGCGCGCGCACGCACGCACGCATGCACGCACGCGCGCGCAACATTAATAAACAATTCCAAAGAATGATCCCCACAGAGGAATGAGTGTATCGGTTGGTGAAGGTTCGTTTTAAAAGTAGTAACTATTACATCAGCTGAATGTCTGCCTGCAAATAACAGAGTTTGTATAAGACAAAAATAGTTAACACAAGCATTTGGTACCATGACATAACAACAGCAAGAATACACTCTACCATGACTTCAGTAATTACTGGATTGTGAATGGTTAATTAAAGTCATTCAGAGGTATATAATCGCGTTATATACCTCTGATTTTCCAACACAGTATGTATTTTCTTTAAAATCTTAATAACACGGTTATGTTAGAATGAAGATAAACGTACTGTGTTGGAAAATCAGAGGTAATCAGGGGCATCATGACACACCAACAGCAAGCAGACTCTGTTACTGTCCCCCGATCTGTTTCTTTACGCATATGAAACAGTTTATGCTCGGGATGGCAAAATAAAAACAAAGTAATCTTGGTCCAGACGTTTTACATACGCTTCAGGCATATCGATGATCTGTCATTGTTCCATGACAATAGAATAGCCAATGCCCCTCCATTGATTAAAGATACATAAGATCAGTGAGACCGCTTCGTGTATTTCATATTCAGAACTATGCATAAAGCTTCAGACTTACAAAAACTCACCACAAGGTTAGAAGGCAAGAGGGATGACTTCAGCTTTCAAAAAACAACTTTTCCCTATACTCCATCTGCTCCAGTCATTGATGTTTACATTTCAAACCTTTTGAGGTACAATCGAGCAACCTTTTCAAAATAACATGACTTTAGTAAAGCTTTCAAAAGGTTTATGGTAGACATGTGGATATATTTCTAAATCGCACGCATCAGTTTCAAAATGATGTTAGATGCAATTCCCTATTTTCAGTCATGCGTTTCATTGTTTTATTTTCAGTTTCAGGTGAACAATTGTCTAGCCTTTGCATGTATTTATGACGGATGATGCCGCTAGGGGAGGATACGTTCACAATTTGATAGTGATAGACACATTCTCATGATATAGACTGAATCGTGCAACTGACTCTGGTTTAATCAGACATTCCTTAAAGATGTAGAAAGGGTTTTGTCGTGTTTGTTTGCACAAACATAGGGTAAAATAACAAAAAAACAAGAAAGACGTATACTGAGGGGAAAAAATAAGGGATCACATGAGAGCACAAGTGTTCCTTTAATTTTTTCCAGGTTTCTTCACAAGCTTTGTATCGCATAGCATGTGAAGAAACCTGGAAAAAATAAAGGAACACTTGTGCTTTCATGTGATCCCTTATTTTTTCCCCTCAGTATATTATAACCATATGTTATCATAGTTACTTCAACAAATACAGAGTACCATGGCACTGAAGGATTTCAGATCATCATAAATGCTTACACGTGTATCGTGACATTTGAATTAACTGACATGTGTGAACCACTTATCACACAAGAGACTCATCAGTTGCATATAGACAGGCAATGGTATAGCCTAGTGGTGAAGGTATTCGCTCTTCACGTGGAAAACATGGTTTGTATTCCCACGTGAGGGCAATAGTTTTAGCTTCTTTGTAATATCGGTGGGGCATTTCTAAAGCGGCGTAAACCACAGTCTGTGACTCAGATGACTATGACATTGATATTCGTCTAGACGTCTGTACTGATATGTTTACAAACCTTCAAACATGGAACGCGATATCAATGTCAT